TTGAACAACTTCAGAGATGGGGCAACCACAACTTCTCTGGGCAGCCTGATCACCACCCTTTAGTGAAAAATTTCACTCTGACATATAATCTAAATATTCCCTACGTTAGTTTAAAACCATTTTCCCTTGTTCTATCACTTTCTGCCCATGTAAGAAGTTGATTTTCTTCCTGCTTATAAGCTCCCTTTAAGTACTGGAAGGCCACAGTGAGGTCTTCCGAAGCCTTCTCTTCTCCAAGCTGAACAAACCCAACTTCCTCAACCTTTCTTCATAGGAAAGGTGCTCCAGCCCTTTGATCATCTTCATGGCCCTTCTCTGGATCTGTTCCAACAAATCCACATCTTTCTTGAGCTGGGAACTCCAGACACGGATGCAGTACTCCAGCTGGGGCCTCACAAGGGCAGGGCAGAGGGGCACAGTCACCTCCCTGGAATTGCTAGCCACCTCTCTTTTGATGCAGCCCAGGATACTTAGGCCTTCTGGACTATAATTGCACACTGCTGACAAATGTTATGTTTTTCATCTCCCAGGACCCCCAAGTTCTTCTCCACAGAACTGCTCTCAATGAGTTCTTCTCCCAGTCTGTACACGTATCTGCGGTTGCCTCAAACTAAGTGCAACACCTTGCACTTGTTGAACTTCATTAGGTTCACAAAGACCCACTTTCTGAGTTTATCAAGGTCCCTCTGAATGGCATCTCTTCCTTCTGTCATATCAAATGTACTCATCTGTGGTAACGTCCTGTTTCTGAAAATAAAAGGTGTGGCAGGAGGATAGATATTAGAGCAGGTTTATGTTCCCTGGTGTAACTCCACATCAATACTTCCTCTACTTACGTTATTCACAGTGAAAGAACACACACAGCAGTTATGAGTTGCTTATCACTGTATGCTATTTTACACGTTACTCACTCTCTCCACAGTCTAATGTAAGTAATATGTGCACACGTGTACCTGGCACAAGTATTTGCTATCAATTGCACTTAACCAATTATGTCTAAGTCTTGTCTGTGTTACAATTAGTGATCTTGTTCCTTTAATACATGTCAGTGAATACTGATGGAAATAGCTTCCAAAATGCTGAAAGCTACTGCCAAAATAAAGGCAGCAGTCTTCTTGTCATGTTGTTAAGGACAAAAATTAACAGGCTTTTATTGCAAGGGATATTAACTGGAAGAGATTATCCATTAGGAAGGGCAGAGACTCCTTGTGGTAGATAGATTATCTGGGAGAGTCTTCATCAGTGGTAATTTATTAAGAACAAGAATGGTGGAAATAGTTGAGACAGCAGAGAAGACCATGGTATCGGGTTATCCCTTTGGCTTCACCCACAGAACTAGGTACTCCTTCATCCCATTTTTTCATTCACTCCTATTCTTTTTTTCTTCTTCCATTTATATATTTTTATAGTGATTATACGTTCTTTTTCTTCTTTGATAGTTAGTGTGAACCTAGCCAGCCCTGAAAATTGAGTTATTTCATGGGCTGAAGCCATGTGAGCAGCAAGCTATCCTTGTAATAAGAGAGAGCCAGTGGGAAGGAGCAAGAGTGAGAAAGTCAGATTGTCTCTCACACCAGTAATATGAGCCAGTGTCTAAGGCTGAGACCAGGAACTGTCCATGTGTCCTGTGTGTAGCATGGAGGCAGAAGATTATGTTGATTCCACCCCCTTGGGCACGCTTACCATGTTCATCACAAATTCGTTATGACTCTTAACACATAGCACAGCTGAGCAGCTGTCCCATGCCAAACTGTCTTCTATGCCCTACTGGGGGTAGTTTTGGGGGTGGATATTCAGCTCCACTCTCGACCAGCTTTGGGTTTGTCCCTCAAGGACAGTTACTAAAAGACCTGAAAGTCTGATTCTGTTTCTTTATTGGCTGGAGGAGATGAAAATGGACTCCATACGCAGAAGCCAGCTGGGATGTGAGCAGAATTGGCCCATAAAGCTCTGGCTTAAATGAGTTAGCAGCATGGAGAGAGAAAGTGGTGGGAGGGAGCAGGGGAGGAAAGGAGAACTGGAGAGGGGAGATAGATGTGCATACTGAGAAGAGTGAGGAATATGCATCAGCTCCATCTCCTTTTTCTGAGTGGTTTTGACAGAGAGCTCCATGGCCTTCAATGACCTCAGCTCTTATCGTCCTAGGGTTGATGTGACCTTCTTGCTTCCCTGTTTAAAAGGTTTTCTTTACTCTATTAGTGGCCCATTCCTCCTCCCCACCCCCAACTCATTTCTCCTTTTATAGCATGTTAATGAGCAAAGTGCTTATGTAAATGAGAGGCAGAAACAATTGGTTTGAATAAGGAATGAAATTGTCAGGGTAGAGGCAGACTCCAGCTTCACTCCAATAAGTATCTGATGCTCATGAAGGCCTTCTTGCTTTACACTAGAGCTGAAACCATGACATTTGTGGGTTTTATTTTTAAAATTTATGCATAGTAACATTAACAGTGATTCCTGACTTTTTGGTAATACTTATATACCGCTTCATGTGCTTATAGAATTGTGCAAACATTAGCACCAATTTTAATTTTCTTGCTGTACAAAGAGAACTCAATAGGGAGAAGGGTTTCATCTCTCCCTAGCTTGCTATCTCTATGCAAATTTTGTGTCCATTTCTAATTGTTCATTTAGAAAAGTGATTTTATGCTGTTTTATCAGCTATTCTTAGTGTGGATGCAGTCATGCTAACGTAGAAAGTGCTGGAGAGCTGTGTAGCTTATTCAAACTGGATTGTTACTTGTAAGCACATAGAAATGAGCCTGCCTTAAGGGGCTGTTCTGTTTTTACAACATTAAAGCAACGTATTTTCTGGTGTGGGCAAATATTGGAGGTGTTCTGGGTGATGTTGCCCCATTTTAGTAGAGAAAACCTCAAGGTTGTTTACTGTAAGCATGGCAGGATCTGGATGTGAATTCTTTAAGAAAAATTCTCCTTTCACCAGCTGCTTTTCACCAGGTTCTAGCCAGCGCCTGAAATTAACTGTGTTTTGTCAACACTTGCTAAGAAAAAAAGGTACAGGTAGAAAAAATAAGATATTTGTACGAAGTCTAAAAGTATTAGCAAAAGACAGAGTGGAGTTTAGGTGCCTCAAAACCCATTTGTTTTCCTTCACTGACATGAGACTACAGGAGTTTGCCATATAACTTGCAGCATACGTACAGGGACATTTCTTACTTTTGATAGTAGGGTCACTCAAGCACCTCGAGGCTGTGTGGACAGGGTGAATGAAGCTGAGGGGTAAAGAAGCAGCTTTATTTCAGGCCTAGAGAAATGTCTCTGTCACAAAGGCCTTAATCTGGAGACCAAACCTATGGCAACTCCTTCAGGCTTTCCCTAGCAGTATCTCCACAGAAACATCTATGGGAACCTGATGCATCATTTATATGAGGACTTGTGAAAAAATTCAATGTCTGTGTTATGTAGTTTCTATCCTATGGCATCCAACACAGAACTGTACCTACATATGGGTATAAAAGGGCAGAAGTAACGACTTGGGGCTCATTCAGAGTCTGACCCCTGCCCAAGAATTCTTTCATTATTGCCATAATTTGAATTTCCTTTTACTGTCTCATATAAAGATGCAATTCATCCACATCTTTAGCTTTCCAAAGCAGATGAGACCTGAATGTCTAATGTAAACCTTAGTTCTGTGAAAAGCAAAGCCAAAGAAGCAGAGTTTTCTGCAGATTTTTGTCTTAAGACCAAATCCCCATGTATGTCTTCTGGTGTTTGTTAAGTGGCAAGCACATATATTTTCTGCCCATGAAGGCATTAAAAGGTCCTCCTCCACCTGCATGGCTTTTTGCACAAAACTGCTCAGAGCCTGTTATATTTGAGACTTGTGCTTCTCTGCCAAACTGAGTTGAAACTGGCCAATAAACTCAATAGCTATTAGGAGAGACTCTCAGGCAGGCGGTATGATCACACTATCCAAAGAAAATCAGAATAAAAATAAGCAAAACCAGATCTGTCTGCAGATGACTAGAATCATCTTTCTTCCCTTTTTCGATTGATCTGGTGATCTCTAAAGATCTTTGGGTCTTTAGGATGGCATCCTGGGGAGAGTTTCTGCTGATAATATGCACTAGAGTTTTACCTTATAGTCCTCATTGCCAAGAAGCGTGTTGTCAGACACAAAGTGGGTATTCACTGATAGGTGATGCACGCTGGTCTCACCCGGAATTTAGGAGTGAGATAGTAATGCATAATAGCACTAGTTTTAGAGTGAAGCCATTGCATCTGGTTTCTCCCCATCAGACCCCGTGCATTCAATCTTTGGAACTTTTTCACCTCTGTGTTGTCCAGCAGATTTTGCACGTCTCCAGCAGTGGCTCAGATTTAAAATGTTTCCTCTGACTAGCTTAATGAGGTTAGTAAAAAGACTTGCTGAAGCTTCTGATAAGCCTCTTGGTTTTTATTTTCTTGGCCTTATGTGAATCAGGCCTTTTGAATCCAGCCACTATGATCTGGAAACTGGCCACCAGCACTTGGGTGTTGACAACGTTATTAAAACAGGTCATTATTTCTGAGAACAAACTCCTGGCTTAGATGAAGCATGTGGATTCCCACTGTCTCAAAGGAGACAGAAGTACCTGGTGTATGTAGATAACCCACCCCCCTCTGCCCTTTCCTAAACAACAGTGCCCACACCTTAACCCTGGCCCTCTCCGGCAGCTCTTTTGATCAGAAATGTCTATCTGTTCAAGAGCCCCTTTGTAAAACTACTGAGGTTTTACACCAGTATCAGGCAAACAATGTATAATATAATTTAGAGGAGAATGAGGGATTATTCATTTGCGTTGGACCATAACAAGAGTTTCTCAGATTATTTTTTTGTTGCTTGAAGAGGGAAGGAGGTATGTAAAACATTAACAACAACAAAAAAAGAAAATATCCTAATTCAGCTAGAAATTGGGTTGGTTGGTTTGGTTTTAAAAAATTTTTTTTTTGTTTGCTATTTTCATTTTCTTTTCTTTTAAAATTATTCTTTTTAACAGTGTAATTCTATACCTATCTGTGTGGATGCATTCTGAAAAAATCCAAAGGAAGGAGTGAAAGTTGAAATGCAGCGAGAGAGGTAAGAGGCCAGAATGCTGTCCATGTTTGCCAGTGTGGAGCCGCCACAAATGAACCAAATATCTTATTTGGAAATGTGAACTAAATTCATATAGAGGAGGAAAAAAAAAAAAAAAGCTGTGTTGAATCTCATTTATTTTGAACTACAAGAAGGTGATATCACATGGGAAATTACTACCGAAGGCTGGAGAAGACACGGATTAGGAATAAAATTGCAGAGAAGGCTTGCATGGATGAAATTAGCTGATGAAACAAAACTGAGGCGCTTTCAAGACAAAACAGATATCATGAAGGAAACATTGGGTGACCTCGAGGATAACAGAAGCAGAGGGAAATTAGACAGAGCAAAATAAAAGGTTCCATTCTTGGGATTAACATGAGAATTTCTGCTAGGTGCCAGAATAAATAAATTCATAAATTGGAAATGACAGAAGGGAGAAAGAACTGAGGTATTAGTCATCCTGTGATCAGCTAGTACAACTGTCAGCTACCTCTGGGATGCAGGTGAGAAACAAGCAAATGCAATTTTAGGATGAGCAGGATTTCTGAGCCAGACAGGGAATTTTTAATGTCTTTGTATGAAGCTTTTCTAAGGCCTTATCTGGAATATCGTCTTTGGTGCCAGGGCACTCACTGGCTAGATGAGCTCCAGCAGGAATGGATGCTGAAGAAGGCTATAGGGATGTCCAGTAGAATGGAGAGCTTATCATATGTGAGGAGACTACAAAAGTGCTCCACATGCCTGACAAAACAAAGGCTGAGAAGGGATATGCTTATTCTCTATAAACACGTTAAGGGGATAAACGTCAAGGAGGGAGAAGAGCTATTTAAAATAAAGACAATGTTGGCACAAGAGCAAATGTGTATAAACTGGCTATGAATAAAAATAGACAGAAAATTAGAAGAAAGTGACTAAACACTAGAGAAATGGGCCTCTGGAACAGTCAGACCAACTAGTGCAGATGAGATGTATTTAGAAAGACAGAAGAAGGCATGAGGAATGCCTGTGCTCCCCAGTAGTGGTGAATGAGCACTCTCACAGCTTGAGGTTGTTCAACTCTTTTCCCTTTTTTCTCTCTACCCTGGCCCCATTACATTCAGGACTTGACTGCTCTTACTACAATGGAGGCAAATGGCCAAACTATGTTTAGGTTGCTGTTCGATCTATTGAGAAAGATGTTTACCTAACGTGCTGCCTGCAACAGGAGAGGATTGGTTTCTGTACCCCAGGGGATACCCTGCTGTATGATGTTCTGATTTCTTCTCCATCTCCAGGGTGGAAATAAGGATTCCCAGTTTTTTTCCTGCATAGTGCAACTTCGTTAGTTCGTTACAGCAAACCAAAAATGGTGAAATAAAAGTAGCTACGTTTCAGAGGGTTATGTTTACTTCTGTGCATTTCTTCTTTCTTTGCTTACCTATCAGCTGAATTTTGTCTGTTTTTCATAAATGGAGAAAAAAACTCTTGCACCAAGTAGATTTTTTGAGAGAGCTGTGTCTTCCTTTTCATGGGCAAAAGAGAGTGGGGAGATGGATGTTAAGGATAAGTGAATTATTTCTTTTCACTTTACATTGACTCACTGATCTCTGCATTGTACATGTGGCATAGCTCAATGACCATGGAAATCAAGGCAGGACTCTGATCTGACTTAGGCTGACTTCAATTAGGAAGAGAAAAAAATTGAAAAGGGAGAAGAGGAAATTAACAGTCACAGTGGATTCCAGGTACATTCCTGATGGGTAAACAATCCCTGGTGAAGTGAGTCACGTAGAACAGAAAAGCAGTGGCTCAGCATACATCTTCATTTCAGCGTGAGAAAGATGGAGATCAAGATAGTGCATGCTCATAAGCAGAGCATTGCTAAACTCTTAAGAATTGCTTTGACTAGTTCAGACTCTATCTATCACATTTGACATTCACCAACACATTGAATTTTTTCAGCTTTCACGCCTCTCTCAGCCACCAATCTGATTTAAATGTTGAATATTGCATTCACTCCTTGCTGCTAGGTAAGGCCCTGCTTGTGAACATCTGCTGCCTTTGTGGTAGCAATGGGGGGACAAAAGAATAGAAGAAGCATGAAAATTGCTTTAGCTTTGAGGTTTGCCTATGGAGACAGCACCAACCAGGAGCCTCTAGAGTCAACCTGAGATGTAAACAGAGGTGTATTTTAGTGACCAATACTGGGTTTGAGAAGCAGACTGATAGGGAGATTTTAAAATACCTGTGAAGGGAAGAGAGCAGAGAGAAAATCCCTGTGTGCTGCTGTTCTGTCTTATGTTATGACCGCGGTACATTTAAAACACAGTTTAAAGTATCAGTTTGGTAGACTAATATGTACGGGCTCATCCTTAATAAGTCCACTGGTGAATTATTTTAGGTCTGAAGACCTAAAAAAGTCATTTGCCTGCACAGGCTGCATTTCCTCTTGGATGGTATGGGTAGAGCTGTTAAAAATGTGGACAAATCTCTGAAAAGTGCTGATGGGCTTGGTAATGATGCTGGTGCTGTCCTAAAGAGAGACTGGGGAAATAGCTCTCTGAAGCAGATGTAAGTTGGCTGGAACAGACCTCATGTAGGATAGGCTAATCTAATTTTAATCAAGAAGTGGCTGTAGCTCCTCCAGCTGTGCTTGAATTGAGTATGCATTTGCAGGCTCACATAGCTCATAGCTACTGCCACACACAGAGCTCTGGCCAGGTGGCAAAACGGACTTGTGAAACAGGGCACACGTGGCTCTATACGGCCCCAAATGCAGCAGAGGCATATGTGGGAGTGAACAGGGTGTTAAAAGCATCATCTGGTTCAGTGTGCTTACAGCCCGCATGGCCTGCCTTAACCCCCTAATGTGGTGCTGCGTGGATCACCCAAACTTCTCTGCAGCCATGTGCCTAGTTGGTGTTTCTCTGTGACACGGCTACTGGCCCTGCACCAAATGGTGGCAAAGCAGGATGAAGAACTCTCCTCCTGAGGTAAACGGCAGCAGGGAACTGAATCCACAGTGCAGGTTGTATCAAACACTCAGGTGAATTCAGACTAGATAGTTTGTGGTGTTTCTGTCACTTAGTCATGCAAGAGTGAGTATTTTTTGCTGGAGAAATAACCGTGTCTTTTCTACATCTTTCTGCCCACAGCATTACAGATTTAAGGACAGATTGGACCATTGTGGTCCATCTCTTCCAGCTGCATGAGAAAATAGGCAGTCTCAAAACCTATCAGCTCTCCCCTCCTTCATTTAAAATTGTATAAAACTCTTGGAAAAACAACGGGTCTCAAGGCATGATAGCTGCAGATGAAGAATGCACTCTGCTTCCATGTAAAATATTAGTATAGTACGTTTAACTATTTGGCCCTGGGCTTTTCCAGCTTTGCTTAACGTGTTTTTTTTTAATCATGAGCTCTTCCGAGGCTTTCATGCAGACCTGCAGTCACCTGCCAGGAGAATACATTATGTAAAGGCAGGGTAATGGGGAACGAGGGGAGAGGAAAGGCTTTATAAAACTGGGAGGCCTGGAACAATTAAATTCAACCGACTGACAGAGCAGGCGAGATGAGTTGACAGTAGAAAGATAACCTGTTTGTAAATGCAGCCCTATTTTATCTTTCCACCAATTAAATTAAGTTCTCTTTGGCCTTCAGATTAAAAAAAAAAAAAACACCTAAATAAACACTGTTATGCTGCATACATCTTAATACTTCTAATCTTCTGACTAGCAGAGCAAAAAATTAATATCTTCCTGCCTTGGTAAGAGGGAAAACAGATGTCGTGGGGAGGAGGAAATGGGAGAGGATGAGCAACCCTAGGTTTTTGCGTTTACGTGTCTACACACACGTGCATGCATACAGAGTCAAAAATAGCTTTGTGAAAGGATTTTTTAGCCTCATTGTAATAATGCACATGAGCACATCAGCAGTGAAGATACAGCAGTCAGTGACCCCAGGCAAAAGTAGGATCCTGGCTTCAGCAGTCTTGTCTCATGGCAAAACTACAGGGCCCTGGCTTTGCTGTGCTATAGCTTGAGAATAAACCTCACCTGCTGGCAACCCTCAGGACAATGTGTGCTTCTCTTGCTCCATGAAGACATGGTGTAGATGAGCCAGGGGCTATGCTCCCTCACAGCACTGCTGTCTGCAGTTCCAGGCAAACAAAGGATGCTCTGGAAGTGCATGCTTTTCCCAGTGCCCTTGTTTTTTGCCTCCTGCAAACATGCTGCTAAGCATTCGAGTGCTGGAGGGGTGCACAGCTGTGTTGCAGCCAACAGAGCCCCCTGTATCTGAGGGCAGGAGGGGAAAGGCAGCTGATGAATACTGTATGATCAGAGGGAGGGAGACGGGGCAGGGGCTGCTCTTGCATCAGAGAAGCAAACAAATGTACACACCTGGGAGATGCTTTTGATGTTGGCAAACATCTCTGGGTGCCTTTCCCCTGTCCTTCCCCTGCTTTACCAGGCACCGTGTTGCTTAGGTTTTCCTTTGGGGTGCCAGATAGTGCTTCCTGCTTTCCCCATTCTCTTTCCCAGGCTTGGTCCTCCAAGGGGAGAGGTGTGCTTGCAGCTCTTCCCCTTGGCCTTGGAGGTGCCCTGTTGCAGTACCTTGGATCAGACTATTGCTACATCAGCTTTCCATATGGAGCAGTTTTCTGTAGTTCCAAGGAAGAGCTCTCACTTCTTATTGGTTTACTTACCACTCCTGTAATTTCTCTTCTTTGAAATGTTTTTCCTTTTCACAGAATGGACCTCAACCACACGTTATTTTTGTATCCCAAATTCTTAAGTACCCTGGTGTATTTGGTGCAGGCGTATGCACGGGTGCAGACCTTCGGAAAAGGAAAGCTATGTCTGGGAAGATGATTTTTAGAAGTACTGCAGATCCATTTCATTTTTATTTTAATTGCCGTTGATGATAAAATGCCCCCTTCCTGACTTCAGCGGGGAGTAGAACTGAGTTAATGGTACCCTTTCATAAATCCCACTCACTATGCAAAAAAAAACAAAAACAAA